GTTGACGTTTTGGGTCGGGACCCTTCTTCAGAAATGAAGGAGGGTCCTGATTTGAAACGTCAACTTTCCTGCTCCTCTGATGCTGCCTGGCCTGCTGTGTTCCTCCTGCTCCACACTATGAATATAATACACTTAGGCAATATTAAACTTCAAACGAAAAACTTCAGATTGTGTAATGGGTAGATTTTGAATGTTTTAGGAACAAAAGATGTACAGAGATCTTAATTGCTACTCATTAAGTGGCTGATCTTAAAAGCCACTTTTAATAGATGCTCTTAATAGATGCTAAGGCAATCTAATCATCCCAACTAACTAGCTGTTCAAAAGTTTTAATCTGGTGATTTACTGTTGAAGTCTCATATGACTGGTTAACTACCGAACTAGTATTTCGCTTTTAAGAGATTGTCCATTTTGTTAACTTTTTAAATGTATTCTTTCTTAAGATCTGGGCATTGCCCAGCATTTGTCATCCATCCCTTACTGCCTTTAACTGAGTGGTGTGCTAGGCCATTTCAAAGAGCAGTAAAAAGGTCAATTATGTTATTATGGCTCTAGAGTCACATACAGGCTAGACCAGGTAAGAATGGCAGATTTCCTTATCTAAATGATCTCAGAAGCAGTACAAAAAGTTAAATGGGATATTTTAGTTTATTGCCAAATCTAGCCCCAGAAATGGTCACCAAATTGAACCTCTTAAAAACCCACTTGTTGCATTTAGTGTTGAAATAACTGCACAAAAGCCAGTACCCCATCACTCAGTCACCCTTTATTTACATGTGCACTGTACATGGACTCTGACCAGCCAGCTTAGAGCCAGTCCTTAGACTGAGGAGACCTTCTAAATCTCCTGTTTATATCTGTCAGCCAAGGCTCCCTGCTTGGCCCAGGTTAACAACTCCAATCAAAGCTCTCATAGTCAATGAGATCCACCTAGCCCTCATTCCAGTCACTACAAGTGTCCACCATGAATTGAATGCAAACAGAAGGGCAGAGGCGTGCTGAAGACCCTATGACAAATTCTGCACCCCCCCACCACCCCACCATTAGTGGCTCTAGTTCACCCAGAGGAAGCACCATTCCAGTTTCATGAGTATAGTGGTAACCATCAGACAGATATTATGCTGTATGGACTATTTTTTTCTCAGATTATTACAAGTTGCCTTTTCACTCGACAGGAGACAATACTTTCCTATTCTTGCCGAGTAGAACATCGCAGGACGTAACAGAACAGTTGCAAGCCCTTTCCTGCTAAGACTGCTTCCCCCTCAGCTATTCTTCCTTCCATCAGGAAGAAAAAGATGAAATATTGTAACTTATTTCAAGGGGACTGGAGAAGTTTTACAATTAAATAGGGAGTTGGTGAGGCCACATCTGGAGTACTGTCTCCTTACTTGAGAAAGGATTTGACTAATTCCTCGGATGATGGGGTTATCTGACAATGTAAGGCTGGACAGGTTTGTCCTGTGTCTGTTGGAGTTTAGAAGAATGAGAGGCGATCTTATAGAAATGTTTAAGACTTGACAGGGTGGATTCTGAGGGGTGTTTCCCCTTGTGAGAGGCTACAACTAGGCGTCCCTGCTTAAAAAGAAGGGGTTTACCATTTAAGAAGGAGATCAGGAAAACTTTTGTTTTCTCCTGCGGGGTTGTTAATCAAAGAAATTCTCTTCCCTAGACAGCAAGAGAGGCTGGGTCATTGAATATTTCTAAGGTTGAGTTACACAGATTATTGATTGACAAGAGATTCAAAGTGTATAGGGACTAAAGAGGGAAGTGGAGCTGAGGTCATAACCAGATCAGCCATGATCTTATCCAACGCTGAAGCAGGCTTAACTCCTGTTCCCGAATTGTATGTTCATTTGAGTAGGGCATTTGCTGCCCATTCCATTATATTCAGTTCCATTTATAACTCCTCTTATAATGAAGCAGCCCATGCCTAGCCGCAGTAAGACCTGGACAACATCTAACCCATGGGCTGACAAATGGCAGATAACATTTGTGCCATGTAGGTGCCATGTAGCAACCATCTCCCACAAGAGCCAACTCCCTCTCAGGATTGGCCTAAGTGGATGTGCTGTTTTTGCAGATCTCCTGCCAATATTCTAGCTCCATTACCTTGGAAACATTTGCTGATTTAGACGGAAAACTGATTAAACCCCAGTGACAGGAATTACTTTTGAAGTTTCTCTTGTTTCAATAGAGATTTGATGGAAACTGTATATGCATACAAATAGATGGGGAGGTGATGGCCTAGTGGTGTTGTCGCTGGACTGTTAATCCAGAGACCCAGATAACGTTCTGGGGACACGGGTTTGAATCCCACCAAGGCAGATGGTGGGATTTGAATTCAACAAAATATCTTGGAATTAAGAATCTAATAATGACCGTGAATCTATTGTCGATTGTTGGGGGTAAAACCCACCTGGTTTACTCATGTCCTTTAGGGAAGGAAATTGCCATCCTTACCTAGTCTGGCCAACATGTGACTCCAGACCCACAGCAATGTGGTCGACTCTCAACCACCCTCTGGGCAATTAGGGATGGGCAATAAATGCTGCCTAGCCAGCAACACCCTCATCCCGTTAATGAATTAAAAAAATATTCTGCTAAAGGAAAGCAAGAATAGGAAATTCTTGCACTAGTGGACATCAGAATAAGACATCAAACTTATGATGGAAAGTTGGGCCTTTGTCCATTGGAATTTAGAAGAATGAGTGGTGATCTTATGGAAACAAAGAAGACTTGACAGGGTGGATACTGAAAGGATGTTTCCCCTTGTGAGAGAGACTAGAACTGGGGCACACTGACTAAAACCATTTAAGATGGAAATTAGGAGAATTTCTTTTCTCTCGAAGGATTTTCTCAGAAGGGTGACACAGTGGCTCAATGGATAGCACTGCTGCCTCACAGAGCCAGGGAGACATGTTTGGTTCCACCCTTGGGTGACTGTCTGTGTGGAGTTTGCATGTTCTCCCTGTGTCTGCATGGGTTTCCTCCGGATGCTCCGGTTTCCTCCCACAGTCCAAGGATGTGCAGGTTACGTGGATTGGCCATGCTAAATTGCCCATGGTGCTCAGGGGTGTGCAGGCTAGGTGGGTTAGCCATGGGAAATGTGGGGTCACAGGGATGGGGTGGGTCTGGGAGGGATGATCTTTGGAGGGTTCATGTAGATCAAATGGCTTGTTTCCATACTATCAGGACTCTATGATTGTTAGTCTGTGAAATTATCTTCCGTTGACAGTTGTGGAGGCTTTGTCTTTGAGTATTTTCAAGGCTGCTACATTAAACTGGCTATTTATCTAGCTACTACCTTAAGATGAAATACTAAATTTATACAGAAATGGAAATGTCTCTAATCAGTTCTTCCTCCCTTTTGTCTTTTCTCATATTAAAATAAATCAATGTCTTATGAGGAGAGTTTAGGTCTATACCTGTTACAGTTTAGAAGGATGAGAGGAGATCTAATTGAGGTCTGCATGATGCGACAAACTAGATGTTGAGCAGATGTTTCCTCTTGTGGGGTAATCTAGAATGAGAGGTAATAGTCTAAATCTAAGGGGCAAATTTAAAACAGAGATGAGGAGCAATTACTTCTCTCAAAGGGTGGTGAAACTGTGGAATTCAGTCCTGCAGAGTGTGGTGGATGCCAGGACACTGGGTAAATTTAAGGAGGAGATAAACAAATATTTTTAATTAGTAATATGTTAAAGGGTTATGAGGAGCAGGTAGGAGAGTGGAATTAAGGCCCAGATGAGATTGGCCATGATTGCATTAAATGACAGAGCAGGCTTGAGGGGCTGAATGGCCTACTCCCGCTCCTACTTCTTATGTTTGGTGGGAGTGAGGGAAACCCGATTTCTACATCCTGCCTGGATACGGAATTCAACTCAAACTTTCTAGTTGGACAATCCAATACACTACAATGTAAGTATCTAGTATATTGGGTTACCTTTAGTGTCTAAGCCATCTTTAATCGTATCAGACCTCTGAGTGCTGCCAAATAAGCTTTGGAGCACTGCATTGGCTATTGGCATCATCATGGCAGTAGTGGCAGTGTTACTAAGCCACATTGACAGAAAACATGTGGTCATCATCATCCCCAGGATAAGCCTAGAAAATACAACAGAACAATAGGACTAAATTGTTGCTACAAGTCTCTGAGTTTCTGAATTAATGTTGAATCAGGGTAAAGAAAGATAAAGGACTGTGCTGAAAATAGATACATGCTGAAAATATTCTTTACACAATACCTCATCTGAGGGAGAAAGATATGTTGGGGGTGGACTTTCAATTTGTTTCATCGGCAAAAAACTGGCATGGCAAATAGTCCATCTATTTGAGGGGAGGTGATGGCCTAATGGTATTATCACTGGACTGCTAATCCAGAGACCAGGGAAGGAAACTGCCATCCTTACCTGGTCTGGCATACATGTAACTCCAGACCTACAGCAATGTGGTTGACTTATAACTGCCCTTTGGGTAATTAGGGATGGGTAGGATAGCCATCATACCGTGAGTGAATAAAAATAAAATCTATCATAGAAACTGGACAGACAGAAAGACAAATGATTGGATTAGATCAAGAGTAGAACTTCAGGAATTGAAGGAGTTGATAAGTTCAGTTAGAGAAAGAAAGATAGCCAAGTGTAGACATTGGCAAGAAAAACCTACAGCATCATCCCATAGCAATAACTATCAGAGAAATTGAGCATAAAAACAGAGGAAGATAAAGACAAATTGGATGGGTAAACAAAATTGAGCTGTAGGGTGACGGCAGTTTGAAGTAAACCAGAGAAAAACCAAGATGTTGCCAGTGGCACCACTCATGTTATGGTGAAAACAGACATAGAAAATGTCTGCTATCAGATATTTCAATTGTCTTGGCAAATCCAAAACAAACGGCTTTACACCTGGGTGGCAAGTTTTCCATTAATTGTGTATTAGCCATAGTTCATAGAATCTCTTCAGCGTGGAAACAGGCCATTTGGCCAAAAAGTCCACACTGACTCTCTGAACAGCATCCCACCTAGGCTTACCCCTGCTACCCTATCACTGCAGTTCCCATGGCTAATCCACCTAACCTACACATCCCTGGACACTATAGCATAGCCAATCCACCCAACCTGCACATCTTTGGACTGTGGGAGGAAACCCATGCAGACACAGGGAGAACGCACAAACTCCACACAGACAATTCCCAAGGCTGGGGGTGAACCTGAGTCCCTGGTGCTGTGAGGCAGCAGTGCTAACCACTGGGCTACCATGCCAGCTCTGTTATTATTATACACAGAATCTGTAGCCAACGCCAAGGTGGCCAGCAAAGATGTCTGCCAGCTGCCTGCACGTGCTCAGATGGCAGCAAAGTTACCACAGAACCTTCTGCCTAAATCCAAACAGAAAGTGCTGGAGAAACTCAGCAGATCTGGCAGCATCTGTGGAAAGAGAAACAGCGTCATTGTTTTTGGTTTCAATGTGATTCTTCTTTGGGACCGGCTGGCCCGCTGGGCACTATCCCTGCCCCTCACACCTCGCTGTGTGTCTCGCCACTTCACTCAGAGGATGGCAGCAGGTCAAGCAATGAACGCTCTTTCTGAACGTGTCTCTTGATCAATGCTTCTCCGATTCATTTCAGGGGCATGGCTTGCATGGATGCTTTAGCACTATGGCGCTGTAAGTTTAATAAAACTGCACTCTGACAAATCGGTTCTGCCAATGTCCATTCATTTCAGAGACTTGGGTATTTGACTGCACTGCTATGTTTCTGTGTGCTTGTGGTCACTGCACCACCTAGTGGTGGCATTGGCAATCTCTGCAGTCAAATATATAGCGTGATGTTCATGGATATACGTATGTTTGAATACTCCTGGAACACCACTCGGAAGGAGCACTGATGAAGATTTCATGGGCCTGCATTTTCATTTCTCCAAACATTCATTTTAATGGATTGAAAGTCAATAAAGCCATTGATTTTCAACCTGTATTCTCTGCATATAATACACCTCACCGAGAGAGCCAAATCAGAGGATCAGCTCTGTAGAGTCATGTTACCATGTGGGAAAGTTATTATCCTAAATAAGAATCAAAAGAACTGCGGCTGCTGTAAATCAGAAACAAAAATAGAAATTGCTGGAAAAGTTCAGCATGTCTGGCAGCATCTGTGGAGATAAATCAGAGTTAACATTTCGGGTTGAGTAACTCTTCCTCAGAGCAAGCTATTATCCTATTTAGGCATTGAATGGTAAATGCACGTAGTCATACAATAGAAAACGACAACCGGTAATTTCAATGTGTCAGAGCAAAAAACAAATTTCCGTAAGGTTACTGAAAAAAGGAAACAAGCATCAGATTCCAGCTGTAATTGACTGGGCGAAGGGATGGCATTTGATTCTCCAGCAAAGTTGAACATTTTATAAATTGTTTATGAAAATATTAAGACTCATCACCTTCTATTTCACCCACCTTTAATAATTTTTAATGCCTAGTGTACACATCATCAAATGTTGATTCCAGACAGATTTAAATTATTTATATATTTTACTTAAAGGGTCAGAATTTAGGTTTTATGATCAAAAATTTGAATAGGGATTTTTTTTCTTGATATAATTGTCAGTATTATTCTTTAAATGTTAGGAATCTATTTTATTTGTATTTTTGCATATTTGACACTGGCATGTGTAATATCCACATCTTCTAACAAATTACCTCAACTGAGCCTAAACATGTGAATCAGATTGTAAATGCAAACATTAGCTCATTTTAAATTAATACATTAAATTCAGTCATAAAATATTGGCCACAAAAAGCTCTGAACTGTAATGTAAATTAGAGTGTGCAAAATCATATTAAGGCTGACTGAGAATTTGTAAATTAAAGGCTGAAATCTTCATCATAGCTGTTTTCCACCAATCATAGAACAACTCCAATTTTAACTTTCAATGACTACAATGGAAATGAAACTTGGCCATCATCAAAAACAGGCAGATGACCCAAGAAATATTTTACATATTTTAAGTTTTAAGCACAATGTTGGTTAATCAGTAATGAATATTTAGCAAGAATGTATACATGATATTTTTTAAAATTATATAAAATATAGTTGCTGTTCTTGACTTTGTGAATATATCATTATTTTAATGTGCAATAGTGTTCATGCCAACAAATGTGTGTATTAGGATAAGAAAAAGCACAAGTTAAAGAACGTTAACATACTGGGATAGCATCTCGGGTATTATGTGCAGTTTCAGTCTCCTTGTGTAAGGCAATATCTAGTTGACATAGTGGAAATGTAATGAAGGTTCACCAGACTGATTCCAAGAGTGAGGAGATATGAGCATAGATTGAGAAGACTAGGCCTGAATTATCAAGAGTTTAGAACATGAATTGAGGTATACAAAGTTCTTACGAAGCTTGACAGGATTGACACAGGAAGAATGTTGCCTTTGGTTGAGGGAGTTAGAACCAAACAGCACAGTCTCAGAATAAGAGTAAAGGCATTCAGAACTAGGTGAGGAGGATTTTTTTTCCCTGGAAAGGAGTTGAATCTTTGGAATTCTTTAATCCAGAGGGCTGTAGAGGCTCAGTTATTGAGTATGTTCAAGATAGAGATCAGTAGCTTTCTACATATTAAAGAGATCATGGGATATGAAGATACAGCAAGAAAATGGCACCGGGGTAAGAGATCTAGTTGAGTGATGAGGCAGGCTTAATGGGCTGAATGGCCTAATCCTATCCTATTGTCTGTGTTCCTATGTGCTGCCAAGTGGCAATACTGAAAATTACTTTCTAAGAGTTAAAAGAATTACTAGTTTTGACGAGAGAGTTGAATTTGTGAAATGATGAAGGCAGACTGGACTTACTGTTTCGTTCTTTGTTTAACATGTTTCAGATTCATACACTTAACATCTATTTATAACTAAAGATATAATTAACTTCTGTGTGTGAGCTAATATTCGTTGTTTGCATGGCTTGTCCAAGGTTATGACAACCTTTTGCTTGATATTTTTTTGGTGGCTGACAGATAGATCCCGTTAGGAAATTTCAGCATATTGTGAGTCTGTTGCATTGATTGCTTCGACTACATAATTGTTAACTTTTGGTATATGCATTTTTGAAGGACTTATTGGAAATGCATAACTTTGGGGTTGTAATGGACAGGAATTACCATTAGAACATCATGGGAAAATGGAGTTTCTGTTAAAAAAAAAGCCTATAATTGGAATATGTAACTGCCTGCAAAAATTTTGTCCTTAACTGGGGTTAAGAAGAGCACGTCCTTTCTCTTAAGTTCAATTACTAATTGAAAACTCATTTGTATTGTCATTACTTACATAGATGGAGACAATCCCACAAATAAAAGGACAGCCAATGCTATTCGACGGTGCAAGTTCCACTCTTCAATCGCCAATGCCATGATCAGGCCACTCAAGAAGAGAGCATTGGTGTCAAGAAAGTACTGAGGACAGACTTTGGAAGATGGTAAGATACCAAGTAGGGGAAAGAGGCTAATTGGAAGCAGGGATGTCACAGCGATCGGCAAAGCTTCTGTGCACCAGTACGTTGCCATGAGTAGAATCACATACAGGCATCTTCCCTCCTAAGAAAGATAGTTTTGAAAATGCAACCATTTTTTAATATGGAAAAAAGTCGAGTTTCTTAGAATTGTAAAATAACATGCCATAGATAGAGGCCATTCATTCCGTCATTTCTGTGCTGACTGTTGAGTAGTTCTCTCAAATTAAACCCACTCCACTTCCATTTCCCCATTACCCTGTACCTTGTTTTCCAGAAAAGTATTTGTCCAATTCTCTTTTGAGTGTTATTCTTCAATCTGGTTCCATTACCCTAATAGGGTATCCTTGGGATATCAGTATGGGGGAATGATATTTTGCAGACTGTTTCATCCTCTTCTTCTTAAATGTGACGTATTGTACCGAGGCCAGAGGGCATCATTTTCCTGTAGAAGCTCTGTAAAGGGACTTCTATCTCTTCTCTCACAATGATGCTAAATGCAATTTTTAATCTGCTGTAAAATCTACATGAGCATGATCATTAAAGGACATGCTTTTTTTCTCCAGTTGCCCGGTTATAGGAAGGACATTATTAGGCTGTAGAGGGTTCAGAAAAGATTTATCAGGATGTTGCTGGGAATGGAGGGCTTGAGTTATAAGGAGAGACCAGAAAAGCTGGGACTTTTTTCACTGAGAGTCAGAGGTTGAGGGGTGTCCTTATAGAGGTTTATAAAATCAGGAGGGGCATGGATAAGGTGAATGGCAGTTATCTTTTCCCTTGGGTGGGGATTTCAATAGTAGGGGCATATCTTTAGGGTGAGAGGCAAAAGATTTAAAAAAGACACGAGGGGCAAGTTTTTTACGCAGACACTGGTTCGTGTGTGGAATCAACTTCCAGAGAAAGTGGTGGATGCTGGTACAGTTACAATGTTTAAAAGACACTTGGAAAGGCACATGAAAAAGAAATGTTTGGAGAGATATGGGCCAAGTGCAGGCAGGTGGGACTAGTTTAGTTTGGGATTATAATCAGCATGGACTGGTTGGACTGAAGTGTCTGTTTCCATGCTGTATAGCTTTCCATATAACTCAAACCCTCCATTCCCAGCAACATCCTGGTAAATCTTTCTGAACCCTCTCCAGCTTATTAATATCCTTCCTATAACAGGGTGACCAGAACTGGATACAATACTCCAGAAGAGGCCTGACTAACGCTCTGTACAACCTCAACATGATGTCCCAACTACTATACTCAAAAGTCTCAGCAATGAAGGTAAACGTATTAAATGCCTTCTTAACCACCCTGTGTAAATGTAATGCAAACTTCAAAGAATTATGTACCTGAACCCCTGGGTATCTCTGTTCTACAACACTACCCAAGGCCCTGATTTTAATTGTAGAAATCCTGCCCTTGTTTGTTTTACCAAAATGCATTACCTTGCAGTATCCCAATTAAACTCCATCTGTCACTCCTCAGCCCTTTGACCCAGACAACAAGGTGCAGGGCTGAATGAACACAGCAGGCCAAGCAGCATCATAGGAGCGGAGAGGCTGACGTTTTGGGCCGAGACCCTTCATCAGAAAAGGGGGAGGGGAAGGGGGTTCTGAAATAAATAGGGAGAGAGTGGGAGGCGGATAGAAGAGGGATAGAGGAGAGGATAG